GATAATGTGAGTTTTTACTGCTAGCATATCTTCTCTCAGTTTGATGTAGAGGGTTGAGATGATGTCATTGGTAGGTACATTTGTAAGCTTAGAAATGTCAAAAACAAGAGCATTTTCATTCTTAAAATAGATCTTGTTTCTGGGTGCTATGTTAGAGAAGGTTGCCTTGCCTCCTTTCAGCTTCGAGAATAAATCTAACTATTGCTTGGGTTTGTTGTTAGCTGGTTTGTCATTCACATTATTTGATGTTGTGCTATCAATAATTTTGTCTTGTGTATCAATTTTGTCATGTGTGATATGCACGTGTTTTGTATCTGTTTGTTTGTTGTTTTCTGTATTTGCTACTGCACGTGTCTTGTTTTTTACCTTGTTGTTTTTGTTTGTAGAAGAAGTAGCTTTTTGTTTGCCTTTACCAACTGGTTTTTCTTCTTGTTCTATATTACTGGTCCAGTTTTCATCACCTTGGTTATTGTTTTTACTTGGTTTACTATTTGGTAAATATGGTGTATTTGCTGTTTCTACTTCTATAATAGGAGTTTTTTCTTGTTCTGATGACAAGTCAAAGTTCTTTTTTTTGGCTCTAGTGTCAAGAAGTTTTGGTCTCTTGGGTATCAAGCTGCTCATGTTTGACAGAAATAAGTTTCTTTTCTTGAGTACAAGGGCTTTAGCCCTACCAGAGGAGTTTTAAAAAAAGTTTTTATTTAGTTTTTGTGAAATTTTGTTATTTTTGTGTTGTTACCAAAAGTGTACCAGAAAGAGTTTTTTTTTAGTATCCGGTTTTCTATTTTTAATCCTCTTGTTTTAAATCTGTTAATGTTGTGGCATGCAATTTTTATTTTTTTTTTCCTTGTTTTCATTTTTTTTTGTTTTCTCATTATAGCTAAGAGATGCATCTACATTTATTTCTTCAAAAATTCTTCTTTCAATCTCCTGGTCTATGCTCATTAATTCAACTGTAGTGCCATTAGGAGCAGTTAGCAAGATCTTCTTCTATCTTCTATTTTGTCTTGTTTTGTCATGCTTCAAGTTTCTCTAGTCTCTCAAGGATTTTTTCCAAAAGGTCTTGGCTTTGTGTCTGTGAATCTTCTTTTTCTGTTAAATATGTGCAATGCTTCTTTTTATTTTCATTAAACTCTTTTGTATTTTCTTTTCTCCTGTTACTCTTATTTTTATACACTTCTGCATCTAAGTCTAAGTCTATATTATATGTAGTTATGCACTTCTCATAATAAACTTCTTTTTCTTTATTCTGTTTCATCTTTATTTCACCTTGCCAAAATAGCAGGTGATTGTTAAACCCTATTAGTTTAGTTTGTGCTGTCTTCATCTTCTTCTCTGATGCAAAGGTGATTATTGCAGATCTTCTTTGATTTCTATTTCTATTTGTTGGTATATATGCTGACTTAGCACCTTTCTTTCTCAAGTATCATAATAGCAGCACTTCAGATATGTTTCCTGGAAGCTCTAGTAACTTTGATGTATATAGACTGTATTGGTCTTATAGGCTGTAATCTTCATTACCTTTGGATACTCTTGCTAGTTTGTGTATACCAATTGGCAAGGCCCATGGAATATTTTCTTTTTTTAAACCTTTAGTATGTATTATTGCCAAGGCTTTGTATTTGAATCTCTTGATTCATTCTATTTTAATGTTTTTGATTTTTCTGCATATGTGTTCTACCTCTTCTATATTGATATTTGCTGGTAGGTTTCAAATTGTTAGATAGTTTTCTATCTTCAAATCCTCTTCTGTCTGTGAGCTTTTTGTATTTTTAACTTCTGCTTTTGCTTGGCTTGTGTTTTTGTATTTTTTTTCTTTTCTTTCTCTGTTTTTAATATTTGACTCTTCTATTTTATTGTCCTTCTTTGTTTCTATTTGTCTTGTACTTCTTTCTTTTCTTCTCTTAGTGTTATGCTCCTCTTGCTGTTCTATATTTTGAGTTTTGTTTTTGGTTTCTTCTAGTATGTGTTTTAGCCATTCATCTTTCTTCTCATAATTCTGTTTATTGCTGTATCTCTACTATGCTCACAGTCAAAATCCACTTCTATCTAATTATTTCTATTTTTAAATACCTTTTTGACTGTTTTAATATGATGATTTTTTTCTAGGATCCACTAGATGTACTTTATTCTTTCTTCTTTGGTTTTTTCTAGCAAGGCATATGTTGGTATATTTGCTTTAAAAAACTTATTTTTATTACATATTTGATTATCTGAGGACTACCAAATGTGTTTGATAGACCCTGTAAAAAATGTTGTTTTGTCTTCTTTACTGTTCATTTCTTCTTCTTGTTTTGTTATTTCTATATTTATAGTTTCTAATTTTGTTTCTTTGTTTCTGTTGATATTTCTTCTTTAAATTCCAAATTATTTATAGCTTGACTTGTTTGATATTATGATGTAGCAATACTAAGCCCTTTTATTTGCTTTTCTAGTTTCTAATTTCTACTCTAATTCTTCAGGATTGTTTCTTTTTTCTTGGTTCTGCTCTCTATTTGTAAATTTTTCTGTCTTGTTAGTTTCAACTAAAATACATACCTTATCTCTTCTGGTATACTTCTTTTATGTTTGTATCATATTCAAACAAGTTTGGGTTGTAGCTTATTGATCTCAGCTTTTCTGCCCACTTGTCGATTATTTCTTCCTTAAGCCAGCTTATTTCTGCTATTCTTAAGGCTTCTAATACCTGGTCATAAACTAGCAAATTTTGCAGTGTAATGTGTTTTGGATCATAAATTGCTAAATCTTTTGTGATGTGCTTTATGTTGCTTGGCCTTTTGTTGGTGTTTTAAGAACTTGGTCTAATATTATATCTGTGATTTCAGTCTTCTATACCTTTAATATGCTCTATAATATTTTCATTATATGTTTCAGCCATCAGCTGTTTTAGTTTGGTTGTTGCTATGTCACATGCTTATTCTAGTAGACACATGTTTGTTTGTTTAATTTACTTATTTTTTGTACTTTTTGTGTAATCTAAATTGATTTTCACAACAAAGTCACAAAATTTCTACAAAAAATTTGTTTTCATTAAAAATTTCAATCTTTTTAAACTGTGCTACTTCTAAGCTTTTCTATTTGTGTTTTTGTTTTCTAGCTAGGTGTAACTTTTGCTGCTCTTCCTTTTTTGTTAAGAGTCTAAGTATTGTTTCCTAGTAGGTTTTGTGATTTTTCTGTGTTTTGCTTTTTAACAGTTTTTGGTTAAAGGATCTATAGAGGAGAGTTTAATGAATTCTTTTTTTTCTTCAGAGTTTTTTTTTTTATTTTGTTAGTTATTTCTGTTTTTTTTTCCTTATTCATTAACTTTTTTGCATCATGTTCTCTAGACTTGTTTGTAAAAAGTATTTTAGACTATTTCTGCTAATGTATTCATAAATTATTAATTTGTTCTTGTATCTAGGAGCTATGCTAATCTGTCTTTAGTTGTTTTTGGAATTAGGCTCTTAATTAGTGCTTTTCTCATTTCTGGTTCTTTTGGTTCTGTTTTTCTAAATAGTGCTATATACAATATATAATGTAAAACTCTAGTTTTTTTTTTTTTAATTCTTTTTATACTGTTGCAATGGATATTTTCTGTATTCTTTTTCAAAGGCTTGTTTGTTTTTTGCATGCTGCCAAATGCCTTTGTGTTTCTTTAATTTGTTTTAACATACTTGGCATTCTGCATTCACATATAAATCTGGTCTTCTTCTATTGAGTTCCTCCTATGTCAGGAGTTTGTCCAATACATAAATAGATATTTTATAAAAACACTTCTTTTTGTGCTACTTCTTCTTGCTATACAGTATACTTCTTTAGTTAACTTTAGCCTTTTTCAAAAATATGTCTAGTTATAAATCATTACTTCTGTTACTAGTTCTAGACTCTTAATTATTGTTGTTTCTCTCTACTTTTACCTAGTCTAAAATTTGTTACTAGCTTACATAGAAGTCTTGTTAGCATGTCTATTCATTTGTTTTTCTACTTTAAGCAGTACTCTATTTTTTTATAACTAACTTTTTCTATATATATTATCTTTTTGCTTATTGTTTTTTTTTACAAAGCTATTAGTTTTATCATTTCATTTGTCTTTGTTATAACTTTTTACCTTAAACCACTCTATTTATATGTTCTTTGTTTTAACTAAATTGATTTCTTTACTATCTAAAAAGTATTTTTTTCTTTTGAGAATTCTATTTCTATTTATACATTCTAATCTTCTACTAATGTTTCTAATTGCAGTGTTACTATTTGTAAATATTTTTAGTCTTTTCTTTTTTGGTATAGTCAAAATTGCTACCTATATTGCTAATAACTCCATTGCAGTTGACATTAGCCATGTTTTCATCTTTAATGCTATCTCTTTTTCTGATCAATCTTGTGCTTCACTTATTTGCACTCATCTTATATTTATATTTATATCTATTGTTTCCTTTTTGTTTTGTCCATTTGCTGCATTATCTGTATATATTATATACTTGTTTTGTTTCTTAATATATTTCTTTTCAAGGTTTCTATTATTTCTTAAGTGATATTCTTTCTTAACTTTTGCTTTCTAACTAGCTTTATTTCTAGGTTCTTTAGCATTCTTAGTCCTGTTAGCTTTTATTTATTTTTCTTCAATTCTTCTGTTCTTGTATATCCTATTAATTAGGCTGTTGCTATCTTGATTATGTTGTTGCCTTTTACTATTAGTATATCTAAAACTATTTTTATTTTATTATTAATTCTTATCTACTGTTAACAGCTGTTTTTTACTGTTTCTTCTTTATTCATACACCTATTGCATTTGCTAATTTCAGTTGCTAAATCACTTTCTACACTTTGTATCTGCCAATGTTCTATTAGTACTTTTTTTTTTCTTAATTACTTTCTTTAGTTGTCTATCATCTTTTGCACTATATAAAATCTATTCTTTTTTTCTTTTATCCTTTAAGAAACTTTTTTACTTAATTTTTATTACTTGTATATTATTGTTCATCTGTTTTGAAGAGTTCTTTAATCTCTCTGCTCTTTAGTTTATTAAGCACTTTTTCTTCTATTCTTTGAACTATTCTGCTTTTTTACCTTTGCCTGATTGTTTTTAGTAACTTTTAAATTGCTATTATATAATTAGTCTTTTATCTTTTGTATCAAGTAGTTGGATTAAATATATTAGGTCTGTTTTACTTATTTTGGCTTCACTTCTTTTCTACAATTATATTTTTAGTAGTTTGACTATTTTGTGACTATAGCTGCTTATTGTTCATAGCTTACTTTCTGTGCCTATACTTATTTTCAGTTCTTTCACTTTAACTATTGTCAAGCAAACTAAATTGTTTTTTCAACATGTTTTATCTTTTGGCAGCTTTTCTAATTTCTATATGTCTTTAGTTAATTCCACTTTTTGGCAACTTTGTATTATTCTTAATTTTGTTAACTGTTCTAATTTATCTTTTCTGTTAAGTCTTGCTAATAGACCTTTTATTTGTTTCATTATTAATTTCTGTTACAATGTTTTGCAGTTGCTTAGATCTTTGTGTTCTATTATGCAATTCTCTAATATTCTTAATTAGTATACTTTATTTATTCTTTTTTCTGACATTTTTGTTAATTGCAGCATATAAACTTAACTTTAGTATTATTATTATATGCTATTTGGCTTA